GTGTTAGTGTGTGTTTGTGTATATGTGTGTGTGTTTGTGTGTGTGTTAGTGTGTGTCTGTTAGGATAGGGATTGGGTAGCCCATCAGCAGCCATTTCTATCTACCCCCAGAGAGCCCTACAACCTTGTAGCTTCTTAGTCTATGAAACTGGAAGCCTCAACTTTTCCAGTTTGATGCTGAAGGCTGAGAAGACTCCTGGGGAGTAGGTGATCTTTAGTTCATGCTCGAAAGCTGAAGAGCCTGAAGTCTGATGGGGTGGAAGGTGGTAGAGGTGGCGCAGCAGCAGCAGCAGCAGCAGCAGGTGCACCTATCTGCAAGAGAAAGGCTGATAACAGGCACACTGTCTTTTTCTTCATCTGTCCTGCTGCCCACTCCGAGCACAGGCCATCTTTCCTCAGCTCATTCTTCCTGGGAATGACTTCACAGAGCTGCCCTGGGCCTGTCTCTTAGCTGACACCCGCTCCCTATCTAGTTGATAGTCAAAATTAATGATTGCACCGCTTCTCACACTACTGATCCCCAAGTTCGTGCTACACCAGCTCAAGCTAGAGTGTATTTCGGTTCGCATAGTTTTGTAGAGAGGTTAAAAACTTTCTATGTGATATACTCTCTGAAATGTTGAGGACAGCTTATTGAGCCCCATCCTACCTTTGAGAACCCTCAAAGGTCCAGAAGACACCCCCTGTTGGGATGGAAGATGCATCGTGGGCAGGGATGGACATGGACTCTGATGGTATCACTGCTGTGATCTTGTCCTCTGCCTAGTCATATTGGCTGCTTGATACCTGTGACTTCTCAAGTGGACACAAAAAAAATATTTACTAAACTCATTCAACTTCCGAGTCACTGGCAGAGACAGGAGCAGGGGCCTAGAGGGGCTGGGTATGTCTCTGTGGCTCCTGCTTGCTGTGTGATCATAAGCTGGCTTCATCCGGACTGAAGAGGTCAACTACTGTCAGGTGGCCTGCTCCACAGAGCTGTGTACCCTGGGACAGATGGAGGAAAAAGCAGTGTGGCTTGCCTGCTTCACGTCTTGCTGACAAGTGCATCTGTCCCTCATGCTCCTCCACCACCCGTACTATCTTCTGCCAGCATGAGACGCAGGCTTGTCGACTTTCCTGCATAGAGACAACTGCTAACTCTGCAGGAATCTTCTAGACCTTCAGAACCAAATTGGTCCATTCCTTAAATGTCTCTTTCTTTTCTTTTCCTCCCTCCCCCCTCTCTTTCTTTCTTTCTTCCTTTCTATTAAGAAAAAAATATTAAGGATAATCAGCCCTTAACTTTGCGGTTGCAGATTTTTTTCCCTCTGCTGCTACTAAAGGACGCTGCATAGAGGACCGCATTTTTGTTTGTTTGTTTGTTTGTTTGTTTGTTTTTTGTTTTTCGAGATAGGGTTTCTCTGTGTAGCCCTGGCTGTCCTGGAACTCACTC